AATGGGTAACCACCAGTGCCGGTCGCGAAAACGTAATGCGCGGTCGAAGCAAGGCCGAAAAAGGTTGTGATGGAAAGTCGAGGAATTTTTGGAGTGCTTGTGAATCGGTGCAAGCGCGATTTCACTTCGTTCAGTTTCCCAGGAGCTCGATCACTCGATGCCTACTTCAACTCACCCAGAGACAGCTCCCGCCACCTCCAAACACCAAAGCTCAGCGGTCTGAAGCAATATGCACAGCAGAACATTCGGTCCTGGTGGAAAGTGTTTGCTGTTCGAGTGAAAGTGCAGTAGGATTGCATGTCCAACCAGATTGAAGCTGGGTGCCTCCTCTGGTCTGATGCCTCCGGCACCCGCGGCGCCGACATGTATTCCTCCCAGGCCACCAGCGTTTGATCCACCTTCTAGCGTATGCACAAGTGAGGAAGAGACGACAGCTGCGCAAGATGCCAGAAACACTTGCCAAAGTATCGAAGTGTCTCTTGAGCGAGGTGCAGACGGGGCGTAGAGGGATGATGAAGACCAAGGGTATGGTGGCGAAGGCAGCGTCCAGCTTGGCCAGATCTCGTGCACCGTGAGCAGCACCAGAGGTACAAGAGAATAAGTCAGGAGCAAGAGCGAAGGCAGTCTGAGAGACAGTCGTACTCCTGGGCTCAGCGCCGCTGGCCTCCTTCGTGGACGACAGAGATGTTGGATTCGGTTGATCAGGACCGCCTGCTCAGCGCGACGGCGCAAAGCGCAACTCCGGTGTCAGTGAGTGCTGACGCGCTTTCAACTCATACGGATAGCTTCAATGCTGAGCTCACCATGACGATGAGGGCAATTGTATACCTGCTTGAGATGAAGCCCCAGGGTCCAGTAGCTCCAGCCTCGCCCCAGAAATCGGCCTCGGTAGGCATGGCGCCTTCGTGGATGTTCGATTGGTCCAGCTCGCTACCCCACCGTTCAGAGTATCCTTCCGCGCCGCTTTGTGAATGTCTATGCGAGGCTAGAGATGCCGAAGGAGTGGCGAAACGGCCTCTCACGAGGGGTATCCGGGAGGCAAGCCTCCTTGCGCTGGTTCGGAGTGCCTCTGCCATGACGACGATGAGGCGCAGGGCTAGAACACTGTGAACATGCGATCAGCGGCGAATCGAGTGTTGCTTGCGATGTCAGGCACTGAATCCCTCTCAGAGTCGGAGACAGATTCTGTCAGGGGATCACGAGCCCACTGGTCGGGCTAAAGGTGGAGTTACGAGTGACTGTCATACGATCACGACGCAATCACCAATCGCATCATCCCAGCAGAATCATGGTGATGTGGATATATGCATGCAACTGCTCTCGGTGGCTTCCCCGCGCTACCGGCCCACCGTGCACATCGCGGGTGCAGCGGGCAAGCGCTCAGCCGAGCACGTGACGGCTGTTGGGTGATAATTTGAGCCAAAATTCGCGATTCTACAACCAAGAATCACGAATCACGAATCAAGAGTCACGAGTTGGATCAGAATCAGAACCGTAGACAAGCTGCCTATGAAGCTATGCGCACCTTCTCCGTCATCCAAGTCACGACTGGATCCAGTGTTCACGAATTAAGGGCCAACGCTCATCAAGACTGCGGCGGTCGCTCTCCACGTGCCTCGGTCAAGGTCCTCGAACCCGTTCTAGCCGCCAGGCTAGCTCGTTCATTTTCAGATTTCGCAGGCGCGCTGGCTTGGCCTGCTTGGCCCCGAGCGCAAAGTTGAGCGCAATGCCTCCCCCTCCTCCGGCCCTCGCCAACAAGGCGGAGTCTGCGGCGAGCAATGCCAAGGGGAAGCGCAGGGAATCCATTCCTCTCTCGGTCATCGAGGGCCAAGCCTACCTCTATTCGCCTCAACACATAGCGATTGTCCGAGCAGAACATCACCTAACGCCGACCCTGGGTGGAACGTTGCCTATTCTCGGCCAGCAAAATGTCTTTTTGGGGCCACCTGCTACGCTTCAGCCTGAGGAGGTGGCTCTGCTGCTCAGAAGAGGTGAGCTTTTGGAGTTGCGCTCTCGTCGTTTCCATCGCGGCTGATGCAGGCGCCTCTCCTGAATGACTCGGAGCAGGTGCCGCTCACATCGTGGATGATCCATCCGCATACGACGCTCCTAGCACTTCAGCAGCAGCAGCCTATCACCAAGCAGCTCGCGAAATGATCTTGGAGCAGGTCTCGCGGTCCAACAAGGCGCGTGAGCAGATCAGTCAGCACAAGCTGGCGGAAATGAAGGAGACCGAAGAGGTCAGGGCAAAGCGTTTGGCTCGAGCACGGGCACGGCGAGGACAGAGCTACGAGGCGGACAAGTCGATTGCTACTGTCGCTGACGTCGCAGCACCAGAGACAAATGCTCGCACATCCATCGACCTAAGCTCCGCGACGTGGAGCCAAGTGACGCCTGCCACCAGTTTTGAACAGCCCGTGGCATCGTTGGAAGACGGCTGGTATCGGGCATCAGAACATTCCTACACCACGCTTTCGCAAGCCCGAGAAGCAGGCGTGTGGAAGTTTCCTTCAAACGCGCGCGAAAGGGCTAGATGCATGGTTTTCGAAGATCTGAATGCTCGGGGTTACTTCTTGTCGTGCGGACTAAGGTTTGGGGGGGACTTCAATTGTTATCCTGGTGAGGCTGGGTGCGCAGCATCTTCTCCTTCCCGACAGCCAACTGACCTTTTCTCTTCATGGATGCACTGCAGGTGATCCGTTGAGGTATCACTCGCATTTTACAGCCACTGTACTCTCATCTAGGAAGGAGACGGTCACTGCACACGAGCTCATAGCCTCTGGACGCCTAGGCACAGCAGTCAAGAAGGCGCACCTTATTTGCGCAACGGCTGGCGCTGAAGCGGAGCTTGCGGACAGAGCAGACGGCTTCGCAGATGCGGAGAGAAGTGCAGGTCACACCGCCGCCACTTGCACGTCAACATCTGTCGAATACTTTAGCCTGACATGGGCAGGCTTCGGCACTTGACGGAAGCGTGCGCGTGATGTAATGATGAACGTTATTCTCGGCAGAACTGTGGACGCTGACTTCGATGTGATGGGCAGATGTGCACGGATGCTATCGGTGGAAGGAACGGTTGTACAGAGGGCTGAGTGTAGCCAGCACGAGAGCTTTTGGGAGATGCAATCATGTAGTTGATGATGATCGTGATTGCGCTCCTTGATTTTCGAGTGTCGCACTCGAGTGGCGCTCGGGGGGCCGCGTGCGTCGGAAGAAGCCATTCGTGAATCGTGATATACGCGCGGACCAACACCGATGCAGCTCACGCTGTGCATGCAGCACACACCATCACGACCACGTACCACGATTAAGCCAACGCGCATGCCAGGTCCGCCCTTCACGACCTCAACGAATGCTCTCTTAAGACATTGAAGGAGTAACGGCATCATTGAATGGACGCTGCATCGTGATCCTGTGCTTGTCCCGCATTCGCGCACATCACACGCAAGCAGCAGCCTAGACTCTGAAAACCCTTCGTCGTGAGGCGTCGGCACTTGGCTCGCGCTCAAGCTGAAAAGCGAAACTGGCTGGCTGACACTCCCAAGCACATGATGCCAACCAGCACTACTTCGAGCACACCAATTGCAGCCTCGTCGATGCCTGGGCTCGTCGATCCTCGCGCAATCACTACAGCTGCCTCAGCTCGAGCGGCACTAGCAACGCTTGCCTCGCATTCTAGTGCGCTCGAAGATCGCTTCTCGGAGCTGCTTGAAGAGTCGATCGAGAAGAGAGAGACGGCTACGGAGGTGTTGAAGTCTCTGACTACTCAGGTGAACCTGATCAGAGAAGAAGCCGGCGTGCTCGACGCGAGACTGGATGTTGCAGCCTCAGAAGCCAGGACGATATCGGAGGCGGTCAGGAGGCTGGATGAGATGAGGGACAGGGTGCAGATCGCCAAGAGGTGGGCCGACAGGACCGCGGATCTGAAAGTGAGTCGCCGTTGTGTCATCCGCCTTCTTTCCCAGCTAATTTGTACCGATGCCCTTCAGGCCTCCTTGCTGTCTCTTGGCGCCGCGATGGAACAACAAGACTGGGACGCTGCCACTCAGCATGCTATTCGCGCCATGACAATAGAGCCTGAAATCCTTCACTCTGCATTTGCAGCAGCTACGGTCGTGAGTTTGATGGGAATTCTATGGGTCGTAAGCATGGCTGACACCTTTTTTGCTCCCACAGCCAAGCAGCGAGTATCCTGACCCCCCTCCTATGACGCTCATCTCAATGCGGACAGGGCTGTTGGATTTGTATAGTCGGCGGTTTAGAGCAGCAGTGGAGGCCAAGGATACTGTCGAGGCTACTCGCTTCTTCAAGATGTTTCCGCTGATCGGATGGAGAAGCGAGGGACTGGCCGTTTATAGCGACTTTGCCAAGGCACTGGTGCGAGAGAGGGGCAAAGCCATAACAGATGCGCTAGCCGCCACTCACAATAGTGAGTAGAGTGCAGCCAAGATCACCGGCAATGACGCTCGCCACTCACCCCACACCTCTCCTTAGGCTCGTCTTTGCACTTTCACGCCGGTCTGCTGACCACTCTCTTTGAGCACCTAGCGCTTCTGATCGACCAGCATCAGCCTCTCGTCGATCGCAATTATGGGCCAGGAAACTTCCTGCGAGGGGTCATGCCGAGCCTACAGGAGGAATGCGACCGGCTCGGAAAGCGGATATGGGATTCTTGGTGGGATGAGAGGCTTGTCTTGCGGAAAGTGAGGGCGTGACATGCGCGTCTCAATTGGTATCACTCGGACTGACAAGCCCAGCACTTCCACCACATCGCTGCCCAGCTCGATAGCGCCAAGTCCTGCACGTTCTCTTACATCTCGAGCCTTGGATCAAATATTAAAGGCTCGCGCTCTGGAGCGATAAATCCAGTCGCCAAGGCAGCTGGTGGGTTTTCAATACCAGGAAGAAGTGCTACGCCAGTGGGCGGAGCGAGCGCTGCAGCAGGACGTGATACTTCCACGTACGAACCAGAAGGTCCCGATGCCAGGGAGACTGATCGCGTCTTGACTGAAATCGCGAGTATGGCAACCAAGTGGGGCACCTATCGGCGCTTCTTGGTCGGCAGATTTGATCACACGATGGTGAGTCTGACGTGAGCAAGCGCCAGAACGGGCACATGCTGACAACCATACTTGCCGCGCCATCAGCTCGCGGAGCCATCGACGAGGGACGAGAGTGGGTTGGACGAAGGCGGCTCTGATGATGAGACAGAAAAAGCTGTCCGGTTGGCAGAAGATCAGGCAAATCGCATGCAAGACTCCATCACAGCCACTGGCATCTCTGACGCCTCAGCGCTCGGGCAGCAGGTCGCCGCGGGCCTGTCGAAGGCATACGTGACCCTCGAAATGTGGTACCTTCGCAGTAGCATCGAGCGCGTGAGTTTGGCCTGTATTTCACGCGAGGGGCCTGCACTAGCCTGACAATGTTCAAACTCCTTTCAGGCTCACCGCTTGGATACGCCCGATCTCGCCGCAAGACCGTACACCGCATCAGTGCTGGATGACGTGTTCTACGTCTTGCGCGCTGTGCTCGCTCGATCAATATCCACGTCCTCGATTGCTAGCCTTTCTGCGATCGCCAGGGCTGTGCGCTGGATCGTAGACGAAGAATACATTCAAGTGCTTGTAAGACGCATGGAAGGCGTCTGGAGGAGCGCGAGCTCGAGTATGGCAGTCGATGGACCTCGGAAAGAAGCGGCTACGAGAGAGATGAAGACGACGTTCATAGTGAGCACATCGAGCGTTGCGTGCTACTTTCTCTGTCTGACGCCGGCGTGTCCCTTACATGCAATCTTCATGTAGGTGTATCTCAACGTCCTCAGTGTCTCTGCGGACTACACGAACAGAATCCTGACGGATCTCACGACTGAGCAGCTTCTCTCCCAGAGCTTTGACGAAAGGCAGATTGAAGAGGCAGCCTCGATCGTCCAAGGTCTAAGCGGTCTTGTAGCACGCATGCGCAGCGCAGTGAGGGTGAGTGCGCCCGTGGAGGGTGCTGAAGGAATACACGACATTGTGATTGACGTGCTATCATGTCTTCCAGACCGAACTTGATCAGCTCTTCAACCAGCTCACGAAGCCGCGCTTGAAAGCGATCTTGCTCGAAGCGTATCAAGACGTTTCGTACATGCTTGACGATGATGCCCATGCCGAAGCAGAGTACAGCGACCCAGTCAGAAGGAGGTTCCTCAAAGGCTGGGAGATCGTCCTCTCGGGCTACAAGGTGCGCTGACATAGAGTGTCAGCAGGCAAAGCACGGCTGACGTGACTTTGACTTACAACAGACACTTTTTGATGAGTCAAATTGGGAAGCGTACTTTGTCTTGACGCTCGACGCTCTTGTGAGGCCGTGGGAGAAAATGGCTATGGGGATGCGCTACACCGAGGTGAGTGGACCGATCATGACTTCAGGTTCTCGACTAGTTGTTCTGACTACCCGCATGTGGTCCACCAGCTTGGAGCTCTCCGCTTTGACAAGGATGTCAGAACGATCACTACCTATCTCTCGACGCAAACGCGCACTTCAAGCGTCCGAGAAAAGTTCACGAGGCTACAACAGATATCATACGTGCTCAATCTGGACGAATCAGAAGTATTCGCTGACGCAAAGGACCCCAATGCCGACGCTCAAGGCAAAGATCTTTACGAGGATGCCGCTGCTGCAGGTATGGCGTGGAGATTGAGTGCAGAGGAGGTCAGGAATGTAAGAGCATTGAGGGTAGCGGGATAAAGAAGACGAGAGGAAGCCCTTTGCAAAGAATTTTCGGGCTGCTCCAAGCTGTAGTTGTATCGTTGCCACACATTGAATGCCCAGATGCATGCGGGAGAAGTGAACAGACTTTTGCAAGCAAAGCAAGCTGTCCACCACGCCCTATGTCCGCACGCGGTAGCCCCGTCATCCAGCATCTGCACGCAAGAAGAAACGAATGAAAATTCTTGACACCAAGCTCGTCCGAAGAGCTGCTCTTCGTCAGCGCCCTGCCGCTCGCGACTCACCCCACTCTACCTACGCCTCGCGGTCCGAGTCTCAGACCCAGCTCCACGCACCACTCGCACTCAGTGACTGTAGTTGACTGGGCCTCAAGTGACGCGTCCGCACACCTTGGCGTGCGCATGACCGCAAACCTCGACAACTTGCCTCCCATCTCAACGCCTTGACAAAGCTTCGTCACATCAGAGCGAGTCCATCAGGGCCCACCGCGCTCATGTGTTTCTTGAGTGGAAAGCGCGCCTCATTTGTGCCCAATTTAGAACGCAGGCGTGGGTCGGGGGACGTTTTCTGCAGGGCGTGGGACAGCAGGATGAGATGGCTCTTGTCGCTGCCCAACCTTTGCCAACGTGACAGATGAGCGGCTTGTCTGTGTCACACAATTCAGCGTCAATGCGTCAACTGTCTCTACATGGCTCGCCTTTTGCGGTAGAGATTGCAATGCTGGGAAAGCCATAAATAGTGCTATTTTACAGAGAGCCGTCCAGGATGCGGGCGTGATAGTAGGCAGCCATTTCCCGAAGTCCGTCTTTGAGCTTCCACCTCGGATTCCAGCCGATGAGACCTTCTGCTCTAGTTGTGTCGGGTCGTCGCTGCTTGGGATCGTCAATAGGAAGAGGAAGATACCTTATCTCCGTTTTTGGTCGCTCCTCTGCCAGCAGCTCATCCACCACCTCTGCCACAATGGTTGCTAGCTCCGCGATCGTGAATTCGAAAGAGGATCCCAAATTGACTGGAAAATGTATGTCCTTGCCCTCTTCACCAGGATGGACACTCATCAGCGCTATCAGGCCGTCGATCAGGTCCTGCGCGCAGGGTTGAGGGATCAGCACGAATCTTTATGCTTGTGACGCTGCGACGCACATGAATGAAGCAGAAGCTTCGCGTTTGGATTCCATCCCCATACATTGTAAGCGGCAAACCCTTGAGCGCTTGAATGACAAAGTTGCTAACCACACGCCCATCCGCAGCATGCATGCGCGGTCCATAAGTGTTGAAAATGCGCGCGATTCTCGTATCCACGCCGTCCTTTTTCATATACTCGTTGGTGAGCGTTTCCGCTACGCGTTTTCCTTCGTCGTATGCAGCTCGTGGCCCAACGCAGCTCGTATTGCCGCAGTAGTCCTCACGTTGGGGGTTGATCTGAGGATCGCCATACACTTCCGACGTACTCGCTAACAGCAGTGTGGACTTGGTGCGCTTGGCCAGCCCGAGCATGTTAGAAGTCCCCAGAAAGTTCGTCTTGAGCGTCTTGATGGGGTTGGCTTGGTAGTGCCGAGGAGAGGCAGGGCAAGCTAGATGGTAAATCTGGTCCACTTCAACCAAGATTGGCTCGATGACATCGTGTCTAAGGAGCTCAAAGGAACGATGACCCTCCCATTGCTCCAAATTTGATCTCGCTCCAGTGAGGAATGAGTCCATGACGATGACGTCATGCCCCATGAGGAGCAGCCGATCTACGAGGTGTGAACCCACAAATCCGGCACTGAGGACAACGTACGGTGAGCAAAGATATGTCACATCGTCATCGACGTGCGACTCACCCGCCAGTAACGAGAATTCTCTTGCGCTCTGGCTCCGGCAAGCGCCTGGTAGCTGGCAACCAGCTGGCACTGCGGCTGTGCTGAATCATGAGGTCTCTGCGGGACTTGCTACTCATGAGACCGCTGGATGCGAGGCTTCTAAGAGAGGAAGTACTCTCGAGGCTCTGTAGGGACTGTGAAGGAGGCAGTGATGACGGTGCTGCAAGGAGCTCGCTGTCAGTGACGGTCCTGCGCTGTTGCGAGCCCCTCGTCACTCCGAGTCCTTTCCCACTCACCGGTCGAAACGCCTAGCCCGACGCTTTGAGGTTGCGAGTCATTTCTAAGCCTACCATTTCCCGCAGACGGAGGCCGGTTCATCTGTGACTCCAGCACGACTCGATTGAAGCGCGGCGATCCAGCAAGAGTGTGCCATGAGCCCATCTCTTCGTCGGAGGTGTAGTTGAACGTTTGGCTGAGCGAAGAGGAAGTTCGAGGTCTCGTGTCTCGCATCGCAGGAATCGGAGATGAAGAGGAGCTGGAGATGCGCAACGAACCATCCTGAGCACTCGACACCCTTTGACTGCTCGGGCTGGAAGAAGCTCTTGAGGCGCTGCCATTCTCGAGCTCCGATCGCGTTTTGGGGGATGGATAAGTCGCTCCAATTGACGTGCCGCCCGCCAAGGCTGATGCGGGCAGGTACAGATCTCTGAGCATTGCCAGGGGCACTTCCCACTCTGGCGCATCGACTTCCCCTTCAACACTCGAGCTCCCTTCCGCCCGCCCAGCACTGACATCTTGTGCATCCAATGTCGAGCTCCCCTGGGCCGGCGCATCAAGTGACAGCGCTTTCCGAGTGTTTTCACTGTAAGCCGCGTCGCGAGCTGCGTTCGACATGCTGTGGCGAGTTTGCTCCAGGAATTGCTACAAGCGCAATCTTCCTTCGGGACTCTGGTGTGAGGAGTGCATGGTCGTCGAGGAGAGCGAGGGCTGCCATGCATGCGTGAAGCGGTGCGTCTGTACCTACGGCTTGCGCAAGCAAGCCTCCGTCGGGCATCGGAGCCTCTAGCACGGGCACATCGGCGGCGCGCATCTTTCGTGCGAAAGTAAGCGGGCCGCGCTAAGAACTCAAGTCTGAATTGTGAGCTCCGCGACGACGACCTAATCTGCACGCATGTAGAACACGCTCTGCTTCACTCCACATCCAAGCGGCACAAGGCTCGATCGTACGCCATGCTCACTGCCTCAAGAGCTCCAGTGGCAGCCATTGCCAGCCGCTGTCCGTGGTGCTACAGGTACGCCTCGAGAGCCGGTCCAAGCGGTGCACCTCACGGCTCAGCGTCAGATTTCTCCTTCAGAAGACGATTCCAATCCACCTCTGCCACTCAGTCTAGCCCTCGACTTCGCTTTGCGCCATCTCCGACAGGCAACTTGCACCTCGGTGGTCTGCGTACAGCGCTGTTCAATCACCTGTATGCGCGCAAGCATGACGGGCAATGGATCCTGCGCGTAGAAGACACGGATCGAAAGAGATACGTAGAAGGCTCCGCGTCTGCTCTGCAGCAATGCTTGAACTGGGCAAGTTTGAAACCCGATGCGAGCCCAGATAATGGGCAGATGTCATTTCTGGGGCCTCTGATTCAATCCGAGCGGTCAGCCTACTATCGCGACGCCATCGACAAGCTGCTCCGGGAAGGACATGCTTATCGCGACTTTCGGTCCATCGAGGAGAGGGAAGACGAGCGCAATCTGGCTCAAGAGGGCTTCAAGAACGCCCGCATGGTGCGACGAGAGGAGTATATCGCGCCGGCTGAAGAGGAGGCTGCTCGTCTGATCGAGTCGGGCCGGCCCTTTGTTGTGAGGCTCAGAATGAGGCAGCAGACTCGCACGCACGCAGACCTCGTGTATGGCAGTCTGACGTTCAACAAGGACGAGTCAGCAGAGGACCCTATCTTGTTGAAGTCAGACGGTTTGCCCACATATCACTTGGCCAATGTGGTAGATGACTCTTTGATGGGCATCACGCATGTCTTGAGAGGCGAAGAATGGATTCCATCGTTGCCAATACACTTGCAGCTATACGAAGCACTTGGACGTGAACCGCCGCAATTCGCGCACCTACCGCTCCTCGTCAATCCAGATGGCACTAAGCTATCCAAGCGCTCGGGGAATGCAGCCAATGTGGAGGACTACATGGAACAAGGATACGAGCCTGAAGCGTTGATCAACTATGTCGCCCTGCTTGGGTGTAATTGGAAGGGCGATGAGCAAGGCGAGCACGCAGACAGCAGCGAAGTAATGACGATGCAGGAGCTCATCAGCAGATTTGAGCTTGAGCGAGTGACGCATTCGAGAGCGACATTGGATTTGGCAAAGCTGGCTTTCTTGAATCGCAAGCATGTTCAGCTCAAAGTGGATGCAATTCTGCCCCGAGCTGCTCCCGCAAGACCGAAGGGAAAACGAGGAACTCCAGCTACCTCGCTTTACGCGGAGCCATCTGCACGGGAGCGCGGAGTAGACCAAGAGTCAGCAGAGGGCATGCTAGAGTCGCTCAGGTGGAGTTTGGAAGACCGCTACGACGTCAGGCTTCCTCATATGGACTTCAAAGAGTTGGCGCGGATGATTCGTCTTTTTGGCGAAAAGTCCACCTTTGTGCACGACGTCGTCGATCAAGCAGGCGTCCTCTTTGAACTGCCCGATCTGTCGCCGCAATCCATCATCCATCTCGTCGGTCCCCACTCTTACCTTCACGTGCTGGCAATTGCAACCTCACAGCTGCAGCAGGCCCCTCTTTCGAGCGTCAGCTCGGCGAAGGACGCGCTGCAAATCATCATTGAAAAGTCCATGAAGAGGGCCGGTCGACCTGCAAGCGCCTCTGGCGAGCCCGACCTGAACAAAAAGACGGTCAATCTGGCCGTGCGACATGCACTGACTGGTGTGCTGAGTGGTGCGGCGCTCGCTGATCTCTGCGTCTGCATCGGCCAGCACGAGCTTTTGACGAGACTGGAGCGGGCGAGCAGAGCGATGCGGGAGCACCTCGAAGGCTCGAATGAAGCGTCGGCTTCGCAGCAAGGCGAAACGGAGCTTGATCGGCGTCTGCGACTTTGCACGCAACGATACGCCAATGCGATTGCGAGTGCTGATACTCCGCATGAGCGCATGCGATTGGAGAATCTGGAACACAGGGAGAAAGTCCAGTTGAAAGAGCACGACAGGTACAGGCGTTTGCGCAGGATGGATGTGCAAAGTACGGCTAGGCAAGAGGAAATGGGAATCAGAGAGCGATCAGCCACAAGGAGACCCACTCGCAGCTAGAATTCGATGCATGCGCATCTGCTCATTGGACAATCGAATTGCAAGTGATGACGGCTAGTGAGGAGCAATACAGAGCAGAATGAGCGTGACGAGAGTGCGTGCGGTAAGCAAGCGTCCGTTGATGGCAAAGTGTCGCGCAAGGATTTCCTATCGAGGGAGAGGCGCATGGCGCCTACAAGAGGTTGAGCCTCGTGTCGGGCGTAAAAGGTAGATGCGGGCGCCTCTCGGAACCTGGCACATCTATCGATTGGCCTGGCGAAGATAGCGGAGAGATCCATTCGTGATTGGCGCCGTTGAAGAGGTACGGAGCAAGGGGAACGAGGCTAGGCGAAGCGACGGGCGTAGGACGAGAGTCTGTGCTGTTTCCGCTGCCCGCGCTACCTCTGCGCGGGGGATCTTCGCGCACGTACAATGCGCGTGGTCTCGAAAGACTATGAGCAGAGCTGCTCACTACTCCAAAATCGCTTTGGGATGTCTTGTGGCGAGGTTGCGCAACACCTACGGGCGTCACTTGCACTTCTAGTCCTCCTCCTCGTCCTATTCTGTCCACGGCGTCGCGAACATCTTGCATCTCCATGTCTCGATTTAAGCGCGCGGCACCGGTGC